CTCCTCGTATTGGAACAATACCGCTACTACAAGGTGTCTTCAAAGGGACATTCCTCTGCTCCATATTGTGGTATTCTTTAACAGTAATGATTTCATTTTCATTTTGGGCATGCCTGTTTACCATACTGGCCACATTCAATTGATCTTCCTGCATAAAAGGGTCAAAAATGAAACCTCCTTCACTATCCCAGGCCCCAGTTTCCTGTACATCCTGGTCATCAACTGGCTCCTCCCCACTTACCTCCACCTCCATGAGCATTTCAGCTGGCTCCTGTACTCCTGACTCTACTTCCTGTACTGACTCTATCTCTGCTTGTTTGTCATCCTGCTGGCTGGGTTGCTTCTCCTTTTTTTGCTCTTCCTTCCATGCACTCAACCTCTCAGTCAATTTTTTCTTCTTACGCCTAGGCATTTCTGAAACGTTTAAAATACCAGAAATTACAGGTATGTGTTAATTTTGCTGATAAAAATCAGGAGCCATGCACAGGTTTGTAAGATTTTTATAGTAAAGAAAGCATCAGATTTACGAGATTTTTTATCACCACCTCAAAATTCCTACCTCAAAATTCAGTCAAGAAATTTGAAATAAAGTAACATAATCCGTGAACCGGCATACCAAAGCCCCGCATTTACAAAAGGTTGTGCTGAACCCATATAATTTAATAGCCGAAATTTTCCCTAGCGAGCGATCGCCCCCCTCCCCCACATCGTCGAAAAACAAAGAAAAACACTGGCCAAAATCCTCTATAAATCAGTAATACTGAAGTATGGAGTGAAATAATAAAAAAAAATACCGTCAGAAGAACCAGTCAGACACCGCTCTCATCATCGAGTCTCAATGCTTGATTGGTTTCCTCGTAAAAATCTAAGTTTGCCCTCTTAAAATATGCACAATACAGACGCCTTTATAATTAGAAAGTATACTACAGAAACGAGTGGTTTATGGCCACGCCCCGGATAGACGCTTTACCACCATTAATAACATTTTTGATACGTTTGTCGCTATTACTAAGTTGTTAAAACTCATATAAACCTGGTGGATACGCGTCCAATTATAGTTTACGCTCTAAGGTTCCATAAAGGGGCACGCGTCTCCCACAAAGTGTGCGTGCTTTCTGACGTTTTCTTTCTTAACCTTTTTTAGACT